TCTCTCTCTCTCTCTCTCTCTCTCTCTCTCTCTCTCTCTCTCTCTCTCTCTCTCTCTCTCTCTCTCTCTCTCTCTCTCTCTCTCTCTCGTTCTCTCTCTTTCTCTCTCTCACCCTAGATATATACGTGTTTGTGTGTGTACAAATACATGTATATGATTATGCCTTTTTTTTGACAGCATCGAATTTCTCATTCTGCTGTTTCTATATGTGGTTGGACTTGATTGTTTGTGACCTAGCATCAAAATAAGCTCCAAATAACCAGAATCCCTGAATGTTTTCACTAGCTCATAGCACTAGGACCTTTGTTGAAGACCGTTATATAGGTTATGTCTCTTACCAAACTTGTATGTGGATGAAGACCATTACAAGAAGATGCTTCTGCTTAGCTTCTATATCTGAACTAGAATGGAATTGGAAATGTGGGGAAAATCTTTCTACAGCTATGAATCAATAGAACTATGCAAATATATTTAAGTCGTACAAAATTTGTTGGGAAACCAGTTTTTAGTACTTTGGTTCACTAAAACTTATTTTGAGAAACATGGGACAGATAGTGGCAGTCAATGGGTTAAACTGATTCCTAGACAAATATAGACTTAGGCATATGCATCTCTATATCTATCTAGGGAAATTTATCAAAGTACCCATAAGCGATGAATTATTCAATATCTTATCCATTTGCAACAATTCCAACTCATGATCGTGTTTCTTTTTATGTGTATTTTGAAATTAGATCAATGTTAAATAGTTCATCTCTTCTGGGCATTTTGACATCTTCATGCATGCAGATATGCATATATGTATATAAACATACACATGCATAACTACATATATACATCTATTACCACAGTTATATATAAAGCAAACTTAGTGGACAGTTCTGACTGATTATGGTATCAAGCTGTATCCGTGCTGTCACTCTATGGCGTTATGCTTGCTGTATCTTGTTAAAATGGATTCTTTGCCAGGGACTTATCTCCAGGTATCATATCATGTAATTAGTTGATAATAGCTCTTTTTGTAAAGCGCTTGTTCTTCTAGGGAGCCATCTTCTGTCCCTGTATCAGTAACAGGATAGCAGTAAGTTATTCTATGGCTTCTAGCGGCTCCTTTTTTATGAGTTCCTAGCTTAGAGGCCCTACAAAGCTAGCTTTAGAGGTCTTGTAGTTCATTTATAAAGGTCTCTATGTCCTTGAGCCACGAGTGAAGCATCCAAAAGAGTAAGGCTCAGACATTTCCTCTTATGTCGCTGCAACCTAGGGCTTCCATTGGAGAGCTAGCTACTAGGAAAGGGATTGTGGCCATGTATCCCGAGAGAAGGCCCCTACCCCTTATCTCAGTACATATGGCCTTGCAGCTTCTTGTCTTTTAATAAAGGGTTTCAACTCTAAAGACTTACAAGTTGTATTTGGACGAAGAGAGCCCCACCCCAATAGGGCTGGCTCTCTGAGCCGGTGGTTAAGAGTGTTAAAGAGAACACAAGAGTTACTAACCCGATACAAGATTGAAGGAGGGTTGGTGACCTTGAATTGTTTCGTATGAAAGCTTAAATGTGTCCCTTAATTGCAAATCTTATAATTTCGATGCTACAGTTTTTTTAATGATGCTTTTCTAGGTACTAGACCATTCATGACATGAAATATGCTTAGATTACAATCTTTGAAGGTTGGGACTCTCTCTCTTTTTATTTTTTTATCTCTTCTGACCATTTATTTCACTAATGGCAGGCAGAGAGTGCCATAATGGCATTAGGTTGCAGTGGGGTGTATTTGGCAAGTCTCCCCATTAGGTGAGCTCTCTCCTTCCTTCTTAAAAAGATCATTAGTTTGGTTTATATGAATTCATTTGCTGATGTTGAGATTGTTGCTTCAGGGTAAGCCCTTCAAAGACACCGGTTAGACCTCGTGTACCTCGTGCCCTTTCGCACTGATATTATCCAAAGATTTGTTGTGGCTTCTGTTGGGTGGTTCCTGGAAACCATTATTTGAGGAGTACATCTTCACAGGCAATGGACGTTTTTGTATGACTGAACACCCACCTTATCTTTCGCTTTTGCCGTTCTCTCTCATTGTTTTCCAAAATGATGGATGCAACGGAAGCTTAGTGCTACACCTGTTTCTCTCTCATTCTCTAAATTCCCTTGATGGAAGCAAATCAAACTATCTATTAGTGGGTCTCTTCCTCTGGCTAGATGGTAAGAAGGTTGTTGGGGCCTTTTGGGAGGTTGGACTGATCCTTAGGAAACTAGAACAGTATGATTTTGGTATTCCCTTGGTGATAATTGGTTGCTCAATACATGGGCGGCGCAGGTCAGAGACCTATGGGAATTGAGGAATATTTATTTGTTTCACAAACCCAAATGGGCATTTCTATTTTGTTTCATTTGTGGACTCTGTGTGATGTGGGTATCAGGCTTTGGATTGGTTGTCATATACTCTCAATTTAATTACATGACAAAAAATGGAGAACTTTCATGCTTATCTGCTCATTTGCTTGCTTTCATTTAATCTTGTTCTTTTTAGTTAAGTTGGAACCTCGCAATTTCAGGGTTGCAATGCTGACTGCTTTTTGTAGTAGTTTGTATTGAGAGAGAGAGAGAGAGAGAGAGAGAGAGAGAGAGAGAGAGAGAGAGAGAGAGAGAGAGAGAGAGAGAGAGAGTAGAGTAGTAGTAGTAGTAGTACGTAGTACGTACGTACGTACGTACGTACGTACGTACGTACGTACGTAACGTACGTACGTACGTACGTAACGTACGTACGTAACGTACGTAACGTAACGTAACGTAACGTAACGTAACGTAACGTAACGTAACTA